AGCTGCTTGTGGACACTCATGTGTTCCAAACGCCCAGAGAATTTTTGGATTGCTAAATAAGTGTCAAAGAAAGTCCAAAAGACAGTTGTTGAATAGATTTAGTTAAAACTATTCTAATGTTTGGAAATGTTTTGTGGATGACTTCCAGGGATGCTAAAGATGCTAACATTTGTTTGAGAATTAAAAGGGCATTGCATTCATTCAGAAACAATAATTCATGTCCTTGAAAATGATTTCCCAATCGCCTGTGTTGAACACTTGGTGTCTGTTAGATGGTCATAAAGATGACGAGAGTCCTCTATCATCAAAGCTCAATGTACTAGAGGAGATCATCTATAATAATGCTGAAGGGCTCCATAAAGCTACTGTTATTGTGGCCTCGTAAACTGCAAGCAGTATCTCCATATTCTTACACTAGGAACCAAAGAAGAAGAGCAGCACGACACAGTAGCATTTCATTTACATTTCATATCAATGTCAAAGACGTACAGGGGCTTTGAAAAACAGCATTTTGGCAAAGCTTCTTTGGAGTGTCTTTGGAAGTTGTCCTCACATCCCTCAGTACAAATACACTCCAAAGGTTGTATTAGTTATGCAACACGCAAGGAGCTTTATCTCTAAGAAACCGACTCTATAGATGGTAAAGGACAGACTTTTGGAGCTTTGGGGAAAATATGTATATGTTGGAACTTTACCACATATTAAGCAGTTAAGATTTTAATCAATTAAAGAGTTTTCATTGAACGGCTTCAGAGATGAAACAGGTCATACTTGATTAAATTTCCAAAATAAGTCCTTAATAATCACAAGCGGAGAGTTCAAAGTCTGTAAAGATTACTAATTAATGCGTAAAGGCGCTGGTTTCAGTCTGTCCTGAACTAAAGATAATCAAGTGCATCACATGTTTGGACAATCCGTTCATCGCTGATCTGAATTGATTATAGTAATCCATCTTAGCACATCGTTCTTATGCATGGATCCGGTTTTATGAACAGAGCCTGAGTTTTGTATGCAACACTTGTTAACCCTTATCAGAGTTTTGTAAAAAGTTAAATTAAAGGAACATTGCTCTTGCACAATCTTATATAAAACTGTGGCATTTTAAATAGCAAAGTTATGGAACTGTAAAAGTCAGAAAGGGCAGACACAAAAACAGACATAAAGAAAGAAAGAAAGAAAGACAGAAAGAAAGAAAGAAAGAAAGAAAGAAAGAAAAAAAAGGAAAGAAAGAATAAAAGGAAGAAAGAAAGAAAGAAAGAAAGAAAGAAAAAAGGAAAAAAAGAAAAAAAGGAAGAAAGAAAGAAAAAAAGAAAGAGAAAAGAAAGAATGAAGGAAAGAAAGAAAGAAAGAAAGAAAACATAAATAAAGAAAAAAGGATAAAAAGAAAAAAAAAGAAAGAAAAAAAAGAAAGATAGAAAGAGAAAAGAAAGAAAGAAAGAAAAAAGAAAGAAAAAAGGAAAAAAAGAAAAAAGGAAGAAAGAAAGAAAAAAAGAAAAAGGAAAGAAAGAAAAAAGAAAGAAAGAAAGAAAGAAAGAGAAAGAAAGAAAGAAAGAAAGAAAGAAAGACAGAAAGAGAGAAAGAAAGAAAGAAAGAAAGAAAGAAAGAAAGAAAGAAAGAAAGAAAGAAAGAAGAAAAAAAGAAAAAAAGAAAGACGTTTCACCCGTTATTCAGATATGAAAATGTGACTCAAACTAAATGTTTAATTTTGAAGAAGTGCTTGATAAAGGATTGGGTCTATTAAACTTGATTTTTTTTTTCAAACCAATTTCTTTGAAATTTTATAATCTTAAAACCATTATCATTTATTACTATAATAATAAAAACCTTTGGTAATATAAAATTGCATTGATGTTAGTTAATATAACCAACTAAGACACATTTTCTTAAACTGTATTATACTGTTTCAGTTCTTTGTTAATAGTAGTTGATAAAAATATAACTGTTTATTGTTAGTTCATGTCAGCTTCGGTCCAGTAAATATTACCATTATTATTAATAATAATATTGAACAACTTTTTATAATGTAAATGTCTTCTTATTCAAATAAAGGCTCCAATTAATATTAAGTTCTAAGTGTTTAGTAAGTGTTTCTTCTTTTTAAGTCATGTTGACTAATGTTAACCAATGAAAGCTGCTTCAGGTTAAAATCAGTCTACGTTTAAGTGTCACGCGATTCATCAGAAATCAATCAATTTTGTTTTGAATCACAAGGAAGACTATTTTTATCCTTGATCGACAGAAAGTTTAAAAGTCTGTACTAATTTATTTGATAGAGAAAATCTTTACTGGCTGCACGGTGGTGCAGTGGGTAGCACAATCCCCTCACGGCAAGAAGGTCGCTGATTTGAGGCCAGGCTGGGACAGTTGGCATTTCGGAGTTTGCATGTTCTCCCCGTACTTTGTGGTTTTCCTCTGGGTGCTCTGGTTTCCCCTACAAGTCTAAACACATGTGGTATAAGTTAATTGGGTAAGCTAAATTGTCCATAGTGTATGTGTGTGAATGAGTGTGTCTGGATGTTTCCCGGTGATGGGTTGCAATTGGAAGGGCATCTGCTGCATAGAACATATGCTGGATAAGTTGGCAGTTCATTCCGCTGTCGGGACCCCAGATTAATAAAGGGACTAAGTCAAAAAGAAAATGAATGAGTGAATGAATGAAAAATCTTTTCATCCTTTATTAATAAAGGCTTTTCTATATTCAAATAAATAATAAAAACAATCATTTTATAACAATATAGTTTCAACAACATAACTTAAGAGAACTGAACATAGTGGCACAGTGTTGTCTAGTATATGGCAGATTTGATTTCTTAAAAAAAAAAAAAATAAAACATTGAAATGTCCCATTAAATCTTACCTTTTGTCTGATTCTATCATAAAAATAAAATAAAATAAAATAAAATAAAATAAAATAAAATAAAATAAAATAAAATAAAATAAAATAAATAAATAAATAAATAAATAAAATAAAGAATATACTGTATATGTAAATCAGTATAATGTTCACACTTTTTCTGAAGGTTTTATTCTCATGGAAAACAAACCATTAACTATTTGCCTTTTGCTTCAGCAAACTCATAATCTGTTGCTTTTTGATAGTCAGTATAGTTACTTAGTTAGTACGAATAGGGGCAGTAAGATCATGGAAAAAATGTTCTTTTAATAAGCAAGTTGCTCAGCCTGATGCAGTTCCACAATGACTTCAGGAGGCAGTTTCTTTTTATGTTGAATACAAAAGAAAATATTTTCAATAATATTAAAAACCAGGGGAGGAAAAGTCAGTTTTCAACATCTTCTTACTTGATGAACAGATGAAAATATCTCAAACAGGTCTTTGACAGGCTATTTTAGTAAATGAAAACTAAAACTTTTGTTCAAAAACATTTTCGTTAAATGAAATAATAGTTTTAAAAAAATCACAATAAATGTAAAACAAAAACTAATTGAAACTAACAACATTCACTGAAATACAAACGTAAAATAGTGATGATTAGCAAAAATAATAATCGTTTTCAGAATTAATAAGTAATCATTCTGCTGGAAAATGCTTTCGAGAAACACTTGTAAATGGCGCTTTTACAGAAAATATATTTTCAATCTAGGTTCATTCTAGAAACATACCCTTACACATACATTTTTGTTTTCGCGAATCCACCAGAGGCCACTGTGTATACTTGTTCAAATCTCAAATTTATCTTGCGAGTGCCATTTGTGCCTGCCCTTCAGACGTAAATACACCAGAGGCCGCTGTCAACTTAATGACGGACTGACTGACTGACTGGCCCATATTTACTTCTGGCTTCATAATTTGCGATCTCCAGAAATTTATAAAAGGCTATGTTTTCAGAATGAGCCTATGTTTCTACTTTTACCAAAAAGTTGAAAACTAGGCATGTTTAACTACAGACATTATCTTTAATATGAAAAATTATTTTTTTATATTTTCCGGGGAAAAAACAGGTATATACTACACTAAATATACAAAAACTAAACAGAAATGTGTTAAAATCAATAAAAAAATAAAAATAAAAAACCCCAACAAAACCAATAAAAAAACGACCTTAAAATAAGCTTCAAAAAAGGATCGAAATAAAACTAATTTAAAAATGCTAAACTTTAAAAATTCTTTTTTTTTTTTTTGTGACAAGTGCACAGTAATAAATTCCCAGATATTTACAACATGTTACTGTAATATTTGACAGTAAATTACATTAGTGTCACTTTACAGGATTTAACTATAAATGTTACATATTCAGAATTTTATTGTGAAATTAAGGCATCATGATTACGGCAGATTACTGTAAAAATTGCTATTTCTTTTTCACGTTAGTTATCATTCGAACACTAATAATATTTTATTCAACAGAAATGTATGCACATTAACCTTTGTTACAGGCACTTTGATATCTAGAAATATTTACAGAAATATCGGTATTATAAAGTACACTACAGTCATTTTCTGTGAATTTATAAACAGCATCATACTGTGAAAGTAATGCAATTATTAGCCAGTAATTTACTGTAAATTTAAGGTAAAATATTTGACAGTGTGAAGGGTGAGTAAATGATGACAGAATTTGGCTGAACTGCCCCTTTATTAGTGAAAACTGATAATAAACCACATTATTCCAATACACATTTCCTCATTTAAGTTCCCAGAAGAGCACAACGAGAAACATTCTCGACATATTTCTGGACATGAATCAGGGCGACACCTGTTCCTCCGTGATGACTTTAGCAGTGTGAAAAGTTCAAATGTGTTTTTAATAAATCCATTACGCACTGCTGCAACAATACAATCAAACTGCTGCTTTAGACAGAGATAACACAAGGGTTTATCTTCTGTGTTTGTCATATACCCCCCTCCTCCTTCATACCCCTGTTTACCCTCCCCTTGTTCACACAGTTAATGTTTAATTTTCCTTATGTGACGATGCCTATAAACGCATTGATCGAGCTGGCTCTCCTCTGCAGTGCTCAAACCATCAGCGCTCCAGCAACAAACACCTGAGGGACCCAGGACACAGACATGGGGTGCACCAAAGCAAGTTTAGTTCTGCGCTGGCTGTTGCTTCACAGAAACTACATCCTTATCTTCTGTGTTCCTCTGCTCATTTTACCCCTGCCGTTGGTGCTCCCGACTCCAGTAAGTACAGAGGGAATATTTCATTTAAATGTAAAGCAAAGTCTTTGAATGTCTGGTATAAAGTCTTTCTATGTTGTTTGAATGGTCTGAAAATGTACTCTCAAATATCGACATTTTAAAGAAAAATGATAAAAGATGAATGATAACTGAAGTGTGTATTTATTCAGCTTGCGGAGGTCACCATCATGTCACAAATAATGAAAAGGAAGCCCCGTGGCTCACAGTTAGACAGAGCTGACAGATCTTCAGCTGAAAAAATAATGCAGGAATATTTTCTGTTCTAAGCAACCACTGAAGTTAGGAAAACTTCAATATTTTGATCACTCAAACCACATTGAGGGACTTTTATTAAGTGAAACAATCAATCATACTCTTATAACAATGTTTTGGTTTATCTTTTACAGACTGGAAGGGTTTGGAAAGTTAACTGAGTATACTGTAAAGTACTATATACTACACTATAAAGAATACTGTATCTGTTTTGATGGAAGAATCTTTAGGCTCTAAATCAGTGGTTCTCAAACTGTGGTACATGTACCAGTAGTGGTACGCGGACTTCCTTCTAGTGGTACACGGAGGAATGAAATAAGTCATGTACATGCTACATATATTTCAAAATTTATCAAAAATAATGTATGTAATATGGCATATATGACATATAGCCTATATTTCAGAGGTAATCTGCCACGTTTCTTTTTTTAACTGTGCAGAGTTGTAGCTTCTTTACTAGGCCTACTACGCTACTGTATTTCAATACTGCTCATTTTGCTGGTACTTGGAGAGACAATTTTTTTTGTCATCAAGGTGGTACTTGATGAAAAAAGTTTGAGAACCACTGCTCTAAATAATCAGCACAGTCAGAACTTGATTTCAAAACTTTAATTAACTGCAAACTAGTGGTTTTGCAAGTAAAATATATTTTAGTGAAGTTACTAAAAGGTTGTGCTTACAGCGTATTTTTGCTTTGAAATCTTTACTGACTTTATTTAAGCAAATGTAAAAATAAATTGTATAATATACGTAATGTTTCAAGATGAATGCCTCTATATTGAGTTTCAATATTCAAATTCTGTCGTCATTTACTCACGCTTGACTTGTTCTGCATCGCTTGAGTTTCACACATACAACTGAAGTCAGAATTATTACCCCCCCTGACTTATTATTTCTGTTTATTTTTTCTCCCAATGTCTGTTTAACAGAGAGACGTTTTTTTAACAAATTTCTAAACATAATAGTTTTATTAATTCATTTCTAATAACTGTTTTATTTTATCTTTGTCATGATGACAGTACAGAATGTTTTACAAGATATTTTTCCAAGACACTTCTATACAGCTTAAGGTGACATTTAAAGGCTTAACTAGGTTAATTAGGTTAACTAGACAGGTTAAGGTAATTAGGCAAGTTATTGTGTAATGAAGGTTTGTTCTGTAGACTATCGAAATTAAAATTAGCTTAAAGCAGCTAATAATTTTTTCCTTAAAATGGTGTCTAAAAATTAAAAATTGCTTTTATTCTAGCCAAAAAAAATAAAAATAAAAAATAAGACTTTCCCCTAGAAGAAAAAATATTATTAGACATACTGTGAAGATTTCCTTGCTCTGTTAAACATGATTTGGAAAATATTTAAAAAATAAAAAAAAAATAAAGGAGGGCTAATAGTTATGACTTCAACTGTATATATTGAGGAATGTTGGAAACTTGTAACCATTGACTTATTTTTTTTTTCCTACTATGGAAGTCCATGGTTGCAGGTTTCCTGCATTCTTCAAAATATCTTCTTTTGTGTTCAACAGAATGAAACTAAAAAAACAGTTTTGAAACAAGCTGAAATTTCAGTTTTGGGTGAACTGTCCCTTTAACAGACTGATTATCTTGAAAATATGCTTCAACTTGAGTCACAGATGAGATATAAACTTTTATAAGCTTTTTTTATAATCTGTCAATCATCATTCTTTATCATATCACATCTCTATCATTCTCTATCACATTGTACATTTTGCTCCATAATGAAAACAAAACTTTGATGATAATAAAACAGCATTTAAATATAATCATACTAAACATACGGTAACACTTCATTTTGATAGTCATTTTGATGGTTAGTAGACTGTCTGCTTCATATCTGTTGATACGGCGACTTCAACAGACATTTAACTGACTATAAGAAACTTTTCAAGTCAGCTTACATTGACCCTAACCCCAACCTACCAGTCTACTTATAGTGGACTTGTAGATGCAATGTAACAAACTGACCATCAAAATAAAGTGTGACCAAACATGTTACTTTGACTTAAAGAGTAATGAATTATATTTATATGTTATATATTATATATTTTATTATTTTAGACAAAAATTTGTCTGATTGTTTTTTTCCTGAGTATGGACTAGACAAAAAATGAGGTCTTGCTTGACTATGAGTAAATTTAGTGATATTCACATTACTTCAGCAGATATATTCACTGAAATACTCTCTAAATCTTACTTTTTAGCCATAAAAATATCGACAATTGTTACCAAAGCACATATTTTAGCTTGATTATAAGGAGTAAGCCTCTAAAAGTCCAATAAACCTTTCCGTTTCAATTAAACTGGATTTACTAAGCATTTACGGGGTCAAACGCATTACACAGCCTTTTCTCTATAGTGATAAAAGCCCTCCATAAAATAGAAGCATCCATAAAAGTAAATCCATTGAAAATTGTTTAGTGTCGTTGATGGTCAAGGGTTACTTTTATCAGCACTTTTTCGAGCGATAGATGAAGATCTGTAAGAGATATAGCAGTGACGCCTTCACCAGATGCAAGAATCCCACCCTTTCATCCCATATGACAGCCTATGATGAGATCTGATGTGTCATGCATTTCATTCACACACAATAATCCTACAGCAGTGTGTCCTACTGCTACTGGAATAGGTGATGTATTCACTGTAGATCTCTTACCCTATGACTGCTCTGTTCATCAGGAGGCAAGATGTGGTTTTGCCATCATCCTGATGGCTCTGTTCTGGTGTACGGAGTGTATGCCGCTGGCCATCACTGCCCTGCTGCCCGTCGTCCTCTTCCCTATGATGGGTATCATGGAGTCTGGAAAGGTACAGTTCATTTCTGCGTCTACACTGTAAAACTTGCAGACACTGTACACCATACACATGAAGCAATTCTGTGGATGCTGAGTTCAACACAATTGCTTCATGTTGTCCCAACACAAACCGATTAAATTAACTTCATTGTTTTGTTTTTTTACAAATTTATTTTGATTTAACATAAAACAATTAAGTTGTCCCAAAAAAACTGAAGAATTGTGTAGATTCAGCTCAACTTGAAGAAGAAGTTTGAACAAAAAGATTTTTTAGTGTGTGAACTTTTTATTTTTGGTGGAATATTTATACATTTAAAAATACAGAGACATAAAGTTGTGAGATACTAAAATATGCTTTAAGAATAAAGTAAATATTACTAAAAAATGAAGTAGATTCAAATAATTTGAGAAAATATTGTCATAAATAATTAATATTCCTAACAGAGGCAGCAGATATTCTAAAATAGTGTTCTTAAATAAATTTCAGCCTGAATTTACATTGTCAGATTTACTTTTTACAAAGTCCTACTTTGTGGAATGCTTTGCCCCTCTGTATTAGGTCTATATCATCACTGTCTGTTTTTAAATCTAGGTTGAAAACTACCTTTTTGATTTGGCATTTTATCAGTGAGAATTGTTTGTTTTTAGCTATAATAACTATTAGTGAGATTTGCTTGTTTTTACCTATATTAACTATTTGTGAGAATTGTTTGTTTTAGCTATAATTTTATACTTGTACTTTGTGATTTATTGTTCAGCACATTGGTCAACCTTTGGTTGTGTTTAATAGTGCTATATAAATAAAATTGACATTGACATTTTACAGTAAAATACAATATTGCTTTATAAAGCTGACCAAAGCGCTGTAAAGTATAAGAAAATAAAAGGTAAAAACTAGAAAACAAAGCTATCAGATTAATCAGTAAAGACAATAATAGAACCTGTAATTAAGGAGTATTAAAAAAAACTTTTTAAAATGTAAAATAAACCTTATTTACCATTTATCTCAGAAATCTTTATGATAAGAGTCAAAAGGTAAACAAAGCAAAAGATTATTTTAATTAAACATTTATTTGTCAAATTTGACAAGTTCAACCACACTTTGCAAATGACAATTTTTTTAATGAACTCTGATTGAATTCATAAAGTATAAAGATAAAGAATTTTAAGGTTTTCTCAAGGTTTTTTCTTTTTAGGTGTAAAAAAATTATTTAATTATATATAGTTAAACTATATATATATAATTATAGATTACAGTTAAAGTGTTTACAGTGTATTGAGCATTAAACATTCAACACACCATGCTGAAAAAAATTAATTGAATTTACAAAATGTTTTTAAGGTAGAACGCTAATTACACAAATGACCACAAATGAACTGCCAAAGTTTAAATTTGTCACTCCGTTCCAAAGTTATTAACCTAACAATACTTTTTCAACCGTATTTCCTTAGAGAAAGTCAAATGCAAATGGCATTAGAGAAAGTCCGATGCAAATGGCTTCTGAAAAATTCTTTAGTGACTGTGGCTGCATGGATGCTGGAAATAACATCATCAAGTGTTGGTTCTGTAACTCCTTGATTTTGCACTGGATCAATTCAGCTTTTAACTCTAATCAAATTGATCAAAATCTAACTGTGGGCGAAGCAGTGGCGCAGTAGGTAGTGCTGTCGCCTCCAAGCAAGAAGATTGCTGGGTGGCTGGTTCAAGCCTCGGCTCAGTTGGCGTTTCTGTGTGGAGTTTGCATGTTCTCCCTGCCTTTGGTGGGTTTCCTCCGGGTGCTCAGGTTTCCCAAAGAGTCCAAAGACATGCGGCCCAGGTGAATTGGGTAGGCTAAATTGTCCGTAGTGTGTGTGTGAATGTGTGTGTGGATGTTTCCCAGAGATGGGTTGCGGCTGGAAGGGCATCTGCTGCATAAAAACTTGCTGGATAGGTTGGTGGTTCACTCCACTGTGGCGACCTGGATTAATAAAGGGACTAAGGCGACAAGAAATTGAATGAATGAATGAAATCTAACTCTATAATGTCAACACTTTACTCTGAAATGCTTCAACATCGAGAATTTAACAGTGTGGTTGCAAACTATTTATATGAGCTGAATTTAAACAAACAAATTAAGTTGCTTATTACTAAATGTCTTTTGTTTGTTTAAATTCAGCCCATAAAAATGGTTCACCAGTTACCTTTAAAAAAATGTGGAAATCCAATTAGTCATATTTTTTCAGTTTCAAAGTAACTTTAACTAAGACTAGTGAGTGACGAACTGCATTGTCCAAAAACACAACAACAAAAACCACGCCGAAAATTACATAAGAGTTACGATTGACCACATGCCCACAGAGATTTCCCTTCATCAGCATGAGATCTGTTTGAACAAGCATTATCTCTAATGATAGAAGAACTTTATGGGCTATAAAAGTGGTTTTTATGAACACCTTGAAACTTGTCACCAGACTGATTGTTATCTGCCTTTATATGCGTTATCCTTCAGTCTTTAAAGAGAACTCTAATACGTCTGTCAATAAGGAAACAGAACCGATGCAGACCGCGCTGTTTACTTTGTCCCACAATGCAGTGCTCTCAACTTGACTTTCCTTTTCCTGAATGAATGGTTTTGATTGTTTTGTCTAAGTGATTAGCTTAATTAAAACAGTACTTTACTATATTTTACAATTCAGCTGTAATTTTACATGTGTTATGAACTAATTATTAATAAAGGATGTAAAATAAGTCAAAATAATCACCATTATTAATGCAAACAGTTTGGCATACTGCTTATGTAATGAGTGGTATAGTATAAAGTATCCCTAAGAGGACATGACTGGAATAAAACAAGCAACACAGTCTTATTAGAAATATGAGCTTCATACTTTTTTTGACGTAAACAAATGTTTGACTGCAGTTTGTGGGTAAAAAAAACAGGCACTGTTCTTTTCACATTAATGATATTCACAGGGACATATCATAAAGGAATATGGAATCTTTTTTATGCAATACATTGCACAACACCAAGTAAACAACCTAAAGACTACATTTGCATCACATTTCTATCTACATAAAACTTTGCTTGGAGTGGTCAGTTTGCTGGGTAGCTCACCTTGTTTGTTGTCATAATTGTGATTCGAAGTGCTCAGGTTCAAGACTAGTGAATCAGAGTTCAACAAAAGAAAGAATAGCCAGGTAAAACTACATGGTCACAGCTATGCACTTTTTGTATATTTGCTTTTAAAAACACTATTGGTTGGGTTCATGGAGGGGTTTTGATTAGTGGTTTGCTAGGTGATCTCTACTACACGGCCCGCCTTTACGTGGACACATAAAGTAAGAGCTTCTGAAACCTGCGAAACATTTAACCTATTTCTAATTCAGAAGAAGAAAAATGTAGACAGTGCCCTCTAGTAGATTTGTCATCTGAAATGGGTAAGGAAATGTACCAGGAGCCATGTATTTTGTAAAAATGAAGTCAAATGATGCACATTTTTCTAATAAGATAAAAAGTGAGTTGACAATGCAAAAATAGCTGAAAACGCAATGGAAATAAATAGTTTCTCACCTAAATAATTTTGCTATTATGTGCAAAACATTTGCGTTCTCCACACAGAAATATTTTCAGCAAAAGTGTTGTGTTCCCTTGGGAGCAAAATTAATCTTTTGATCAGAAACGTTACATTCATCTGAAATTTTCAATAGTATCTGGATGCAGCCTTTATGAACTATGCTGAGATTGCATCACTCAGACACAATGCACTCAGTGGAGCGAGTGACATCACTGTAAGGGGTAGGGTTAGGGGTGTGGTTAGGTGAGCGCACTAAAAAACATTGGATGCAACTCAGATTGCACTGCACCAGGTCTGCATCCAGACCCCTCTCGAAATTTTGGCACATTACATGCCAATTACTTCTCGTTTGAGTCTTAGTAGTCTGTCTGCTTAATATCTGCTGATACTGCTTCTTCAACAGATATTTAACTGACTATAAGAAACTTTGCAAGTACATGTCAACTAACAATAACCCTAAGCCCAACAGTCTACTTACAGTATCTAATGAGAATTAGTTGGCATGTAGATGTAATGCAACTTGACTTCAACAAAATGCATTAAATGGATCGTCAAAATAAAGTGAAAACGATAAGTTTTGCATTTTCCCAACAAACTTTTAGTTCCTCAAATCTTTTACTCTGTTTTGCAAATTTTAGATTTCTATAGGGAACAGCATTTGCTCAGAATCTTGAGCATTCTCTCACAATATTGCATTACTTTGAGAAATACACTGAAATATTTTGCATTCTCTATAGACTTGGATAATATTGTGCAATTCCGAATGTGCTTCACACAGGTTAATGAGCCTGACAAACCACCTGCAGGAAACACACTCTTTCTTCTTCCTCTCTATATCCACCAGACACTTTCCTGCTAACAATCTGTTACAAGGACTCAATAATAATAACAACAACAACAATTATAATAAAAAACGGCTAAATTTGACATCTACCTCTCACTGCTCTGATGATTTGAAGTGCTTCTTTTATCCTTACTTTGGATAAAAGCATCTGCTAAATGAACACATGTAAATGTAAAATGCATTTTAAACTCAACCCATGTCAACCAGAGCTGAATGTGATATTAAGCGTGTAACTTTGTCTTTTAGGTATGCGTGCAGTACTTAAAGGACACCAATATGCTATTTATTGGGGGTCTGCTGGTGGCAATAGCTGTTGAACACTGGAATCTCCATAAACGCATTGCCCTGAGTGTCCTCCTAGTCGTTGGAGTCCGGCCTGCTCTGTAAGACCAAACACAACGAAAACAAATTCTCCAATTGGGCCTCATTAACTCACCAGTACTGATTTTTTTTACTCTGTCTGTCTATTTCTCCAGGCTAATGCTGGGCTTCATGATCGTAACAGCCTTCCTCTCCATGTGGATCAGCAATACGGCCACCACCGCCATGATGCTGCCCATTTCTCAAGCGGTTCTCGAACAGCTCAGCGCCACAGAAGCGGATTCTGATGAGAAAGAGCTGAGGGAAGGTCAGGTTAATCAAGCGTTCGAGTTAACCGAGGTCAACATCAAGCAACCTTTGGACAACACCCAAGGAGAGAAACCCAACAGTATGTTGAACACTTGTACTTTTTTAAAGTTTTAAAGAGTTTATTATTGAGTATCAAATAATGTCTTTGTCGCAAAATACTGTTTGGGTGCTGAAGCATTTCTAATATCCAGTAGTTTGCCACTAGAGTCCACCATCAATATTAATGGACCAGTCAACATTTACATTCCCATCTGTTGTTCAATTGTGTCACAGTACGTCATATTGGCAGATTAAGAGTGAGGAATTGTTTACTTAATTTTGTTGAGTTCTAAAATCCAAACGTTTGAGGTCACCATTATCCAATCAGATCAATGGACCAATCTTAAAACAGCATGTCATTTCGGCATAGTGAATATTTAGTGAGGCTTTGTTGTGATACTGTTTGGGTACTAAAACTTCTCTGAAACCCAATAGTTTGCCACTAGAGGCCACCATTGTCCAATCAGATTGATTAAATAATCAAACTTACACCCCATCTGTTTTTCGTTGGTCTACAACAGTGTTTCTCAGCCACGTTCCTAGAGGACGACACTATATGTTTTGAATGTCTCCTTTGTCTGTCACACCCATTACACGCCTTTCAGTCTCTTCCAAAGAGCTGATGACCTGAATCAGGTGCGCTTGGTTAAGGAGACATGGCAAGTGTGCAGAGCTGGTGGTCCTATAGGAATGTGGTTGAGAAAAACTGGTCTACAGTACGTCATTATGGTACTTGAACTTTGAAGATTGTATATTGCACATCCATTGAGATACTGTTTACTTCATTTTGTTTGGGTCTTGAAGTGTTTCTATACTTTGCCACCAGAGGCCACCGTTCGCCAATTAGATTAAGAGACCAATCTTAAAACAGCATGTCATTTTGACAATTGGACTTTTTAAAAATTGTAAAGCGTGTATTAAATATTCATTGAGGCTTTGTGTTTATACTATTTGGGTCCTGACCATCTGTAAAACCCAAGGTCGGCAGCTCTGCACAGTTTAGTTCCAACCCTAATTAAACACACCTGATCAAACTAATTGAGTCCTTCAGGCTTGTTTGAAACCTACAGGTAAGCGTGTTGGAGCAGGGTTGGAACTAAACTGTGCAGGGCTTCGGCCCTCCAGGGATTGAGTTTGACACCCCTGCTTTAAATGTACCCTCATCTTTAGGTCAACATTTTAGCACTTTGAAGAACTAGAACTTTTGAAGATTGTTAGGCCATATTGCACGTCCAATGAGATATTGATTACTAAATGTTGTTTGGGTTCTGAAACGATTCTAAAATCCAACCGTTTGCCACTAGAGGCCGCCATTGGCCGATCAGATTAACGGACCAATCTTAACCTCTGTTATCTTAACATTTACAACCCACCTGTTGACAGATAACGCAGATGTGGAGGAAGGGATCAACGCTCTTTCTGAACGCAGGAGGAAAGCGCGTGAAGCCAAGTATCTTCGTCTTTTTAAAGGAATGAGTTTATCTGTGTGTTACTCCGCCAGCATTGGAGGAACTGCCACCCTGACGGGCACCACACCAAATCTAATTCTCAAGGGCCAGATGGATGAGTATGTTTCTGTCTCTTATTAAAATGTTTTAAATATACTATAAAAGATAAGATTGATTGAATACAGATTAATTAGTAAATAAGATTAATTAAATCCGAAATTGATAAACATAAAATATTCTAGAATAAGGATAACGATAATAAACATTTATTTATTTATTTATTTATTTATTTATTTATTCATTTATTTATTATGGTGTCTCTCACATATTTGATGTTGTTTTTTCTTAACAGGATTTTTCCAGATAACAATGATGTGATCAACTTTGCCAGCTGGTTCGGTTTTGCCTTTCCTAACATGGTGCTGATGCTTGTGCTCTCTTGGCTTTGGCTGCAGTGCATGTACCTGGGCTTTAAGTAAGTAACTTGTATACTTTACATCAAAATGCAGTCAGTCTATTTTTTAGCCAATGGTTCTTAACATTTTTCATTGCCATTTCCAACACAATCATCCCCCTAATACTTCCTGTAGGTTTATTATAGTTTATAAAGTCTTTATTTACTCAGCCTGGACCTGTTCTAAACCTCTATTCTGGAAATGTTGGAAACTGGAAGCCATTGACTTCCATTCATTGTGTCTTAATTTAATTTAACTTAATTATTTTATTTAGTTTAATTTAATTTGGCTACTGTTAACGTCAATGTCTTCCTAGAGAACTATCCCTAAATAATTCTATATTAACTATAAAATATTTTATAACTTTTTTTAATGGGTTTAAATCGACTTGCTAGCATAAATAAAACTGGTATAATAAATAGATACATCAAATAACAATTTTTAGATCTGGTTCATAAATGTATCTAATTACCAAGCTTTTACATTTTTATAACAAAAGATCCATGACAATGTGCGAAAGATGACAATGCTAATAGTTACTAATATAGAACTAATATAGAAGTCATGTTGGGCCCCTTGTAAGAGTTGGATAGACACCTAATTAAAAAGGCTGATGAAATGTTGTGGCTGTTATAATAAAAATACATTTTATATGCTTGATAATGTAACACCTTTGAGTAGTCTGAGTTTTCACTCATGGTTTTTTCTTTTTCAGCTTTAAACAGTCTTTTGGCTGCGGCACAAAGAACGAGGGAGACAAAGATGCGTACAAAGTGATGAAGAATGAATATAAGAAGCTTGGGCCAATGTCCTTCGCTGAGGGAGCAGTGCTGGTCATCTTTATCTTTCTGGTGATCCTGTGGTTCACTAGAGAACCAGGCTTTATGCCAGGCTGGGCAACTGAGCTCTTCAACAAAAACGGACAGTGAGTACAAGCTTCATTTTAAAACTTGAATGGACTCGCCGTTTACACATTCTCAAGTGGTAGGACACCATTATGAGTTTGTTTTTTCTATTAGAAGAATCATGGAAACCAATACCATTGACTTTAACCAAACAATTATTATTATTATTATTATTATTTTTTGGACGTGAATGAAAATCTAATAATGTCTAAGAGAACTGCCCAAAACTAGAGTAATCAAACAGACAAATTACACAGCAAAACAAGATTTACTTACTAAGAATTTTTGTCTTGTTTCAAGTCCAAATATCTAAAAAAAAAAGTGCTGCAGTGTCTAGAAAAAACAGATATCTATTGTTTTGTTTTCAGAAGTAATAAGTCCAAATGTTAGTAATTAGTCTCAATTGTTTGCCAGTGGGCTCAGTAAAATTATTATTAGTAAAATTATAAGATTATTTTGTATAATTTGTTTTTAAACAATTTTATTCATTAATTAGTTTTTTTTTTTTTTGGCTTAGTCCCCTTTATTCATAAGGGGTCGCCACAGCGCAATGAACCGCCAACTTATCCAGCAAATGTTTTTAAAATAAAACCCATCTCTGATAAACATCCATACACTCCCATTCACACACATACACTACAAACAATTTAGTTTACCCAATTCACCTACATCACATGTCTTTGGACTGTGGGGGAAACTGGAGCACTCGGAGGAAACCCACACAAACAACGGGAGAACATGCAAACTCCACACAGAAATGCCAACTGACCCAGTCGAAGCTCAAACCAGCGACCTTCTTGCTGTGAGGCGATCATGCTAATCCACTTCGCCACTGTGACGCCCTCAAACTATTTTACGTTAATATAACCAATATAAGTGAATTGGACATAAAACAATTGAGTTTCCCCAAAAAAATCCCCCCAAGAATTGTGTTGTTTCAGCTCATTTTAAAGAGGTAGTTTGAACAAACGACAAAAATATTTTTGAATGCTTCACTGGCAAATTATTTTGTCTGTTTTTTTGGGAAAAACTCACTTAATATTGATATTATTTCTAAAAACCATACAATAATAATAATGTGTCTATAAAATGCTTCTTGATATACACATTTTTAGATATTTGGACTAGAAACAAGATAAAAACACTTTAAGAAAAGTAGACAGACTTCACGTAAAGTCTTTTATTCCTCTGTATTTGAGGACTAGTCTAGTTTTGGGCTATTTTTATACATCTATTAGATTTACACTGACATCCCAATTTTAGTCTTGCTTTTTAAAACCTTGACTTTTTTAAACCGCTGTAAACCTTGAAACTGGTTATCATCCCATGCCTAAACCGAATGTACATTTTTGGGTGAACATTCATTTTTTAGAGACAAAAAAAGCTCAATTGATGTATATGAAACTCTTTATCTCTGTACAGATATGTCACAGATGGGACTGTGGCCATTTTTATGTCCACCCTGTTCTTCGTCATTCCGTCTCGAGTGGACTTTTTATGCTCCATCAAATATGAAGAACAAGATGAGGAAGCTGTAGGAGAGGAGCAGGATGGTAAGCTTGTTCTGAATATGGACAGAATGTTGCGTTAAACTCGGTGTGCAACCTGACCATCTGTTCTATGTAGGAGTTGAGAAGGAAAAGAAGAGGAAACTGAAAGGAACCCCGACGCTCCTCAACTGGAAGGTGGTTCACGAGCGCATGCCCTGGAATATAGTGCTGCTCCTGGGGGGAGGATTCGCATTGGCAAGCGGGAGTGAGGTAACATGATCACACACTGTAAAAAAAAAAAAAAGAAGAAAAAAAAGCTTGCTTCTGCCCAATTAATTTGTTACAAGTTAAAACAACATGAATTAAGTTAACTGTTTTTACAATAGTATGCAGATTGAACATAAAACATTTAAGTTGTCCCCCAAACATCTCAAGAATTGTGTTGTTTCAGCTCTGTAAGAATGGTTTTAATCCACAGTGGTTCGAACTGTAGTTCTGCCGAGCCACTAAAAAGTAATCAGCATGATGTTAAAAAACTGTACATTTCTAGTCAAACCATTCTTCTGCAATCTCATACCAAAAACAGAAATAAGGGCAGTATTAATAGCTATAAATGTGGGAGAGCGTTGATATTATGTGATTGTATTGTATTGCTATATGGAACAATTAAATGTTGATGACAATTAAATGTTGATGAAACAATTAAATGTTGTATTGCTATATGGAACAATTAAATGTTAATTCATTTATTAATGATTACTGCTCATGAGGGTTTCAAATGGTCAATTTTAGTCAATGTTTAAGTTGAATATGTTTACTTAGGAGTTTATTTAGAACTGCGCACATTCTCATGTCAAATATTTTTTCTGTAGATCACAGCCTTTGCGTGGGAAGTGGTGTACATTACATTACATCATTACAGCAGAAGTACAATAAAAATGTAAATAGAAACTTACATGAGTGGTCTCCAGCAGATCTTTTCATAAACACTGAGGGGCGTTAAGGTCAATCATGTTTATTAGAGGACTCTACTGATGTTGTGATGTGTGTGTTTGTGCAGGAGTCTGGTCTGTCAGTGTGGCTCGGTCAGAGTCTATCTCCGCTGAAGAGCATCCCACCGTTCGCCATCTCTATAATTCTGTGTCTGCTGGTGGGCACCTTCACCGAGTGCTCCAGCAACACCGCTACCACCACACTCTTCCTGCCCATCCTTGCCTCCATGGTGAGCTAACACCACCGAGTTGACTTCAACAATGAACTACACTTTCATGAAAAAATTTAGCTCCCACTTTATATTTAATAACCTTAAAGTACACATGAAATCGAAACTAGCATAGTGATTTTGTTAACTCGCATTGCAAGTTTTGTGGCATTTCATTTAAAAAATAAATAAAATAAAACATTTGCCCAATCTAAAATTGAAATCTGAAAATGCACTGTGTAAAATTGTCAGATTACGTCTGTCTGTGGTAAGGGGTTTGGTTAACAACTGTTAGTTTTGACAATAATGGTAAGGAGGAGTTGTCTGTTAGGTTGAAATAACTCTCCCCAAACCCTTTTCCTGATCTTTCTGAATGAAATACCTACTTAACTGCATCCAATCAGCTCAAAGTAGAAAAAAAACATGCCCACTTTTCCTCATTTAATATATCATCTGTATAAAATTAATATGTTCTCATTTGTCACAATGTGAAAAAAGTACATGCAGACTTTTACTATGCACTTGCATCAAAATAGAAATGGGATGTACTTGTGTTTGGTGTTTGTAATAAATCACACAACACTTCTGGTGCTTCTGATGTGGTATCGTAAAAGTGGGAGGGAATTTTAAAGCACTGAACTCACTCTCTCTGTTTGCAGGCCACCACCATCGGTCTCCACCCGCTGTATGTGATGCTGCCCTGCACCATCAGCGCGTCGCTGGCATTCATGCTTCCTGTTGCCACTCCACCCAACGCCATCGCCTTCTCTTACGGCAACCTCAAAGTCTTGGACATGGTATGGATGAATACATTTTATGAGATTTTCCACTCATACACAGTGTTTATACCCAACACGAAAGGTCTGATGTGAAACTTTTCAAATCATTATAATATTGATGAATCTTAGACATGACAAATTACCTACAGAGCAAATAGCTGTGACATACACAAGGCAAAATTCTTGTTTGTTTCTTACTTGAAACCAATGGCCTGCTTCCACTGAGTGGTAAAGTATGGTACCAGTCACCTTTATCTGGCTTGCGTTTCCACTGCGTGGTGTAGGGATGCAACAATACAGTTAGCTCACAGATCAATACATACCTTCGTTTTTTAACACAGTTTTCGGTTCGGTTCGGTTCTCATGGCTTGACATGTTATTTTTTTTAATTCTACAGGCAACAGTAAGAGTTTGAGGAGAAATTATTTTCATGATTTATTGCAATACTCATTTTGTTTAACTTAAAAGCCAAGAAAAGTACACTAGTACCCAGTGTATTGTATAAAAAAAAATGAACACTGAAATCTCACAGCTGCTGGTAGCCCATGTACAAACTGGGGAACACATTAATTCCTACCCTTTGAAAATAAACATATATGTGAAGTTAATAAAGATAAATTGTCCATTTCAAATAAATATATTTGTACTTAAGTAAACATAAATAAACCATCTTAATTATCTCGGCGCTGAAAAAATGTGAGACTGTAGTCTGTAACGCAGATCGAGTGCTTTTCATAAAATGACAAAAGCCTGAATCTCCAATCACCGAAAACGGCTGCAAATCTTTAGCAATAAACACCCCGCACTGCCTTTGTTATTTGTATGCGTCTCTCGGAACCAGTTGGGTAAATTCAGCGAGGGATTGTTGCTGTTTGGAGGACTTTATTACCTTCTCTGCTATCCTACATTCAGACAGTGATATTGCTGGGTGATGGCACTGCAGATGTGCAGTCATGGTTATACGTGTAAAACAGTGCTTGCACAGTTATTTTTTGTTCACCGTTTTATGCTTAACGCCAAAACCGAAATGTCCACACACCGCAGATTTGAAAAACGGCAGCACTTTCTCGTACTGTTGCCTCACTTCGTCGGCGCTTCCTTGTACTGTGGCCTCAGCCTCACTTCACCGCCGCTCGCAATGCTAAAGAGTGGAATGATGGTCAAGCGCCCCCTAACTTTATAGCATAATGATTGGATAATTACTTGCGGGGAGGAGTTTCCTCATCTCAGCTCATGGATTTAGAGGCACACAAAGTCAATTCGGGGAGATATAAAACGCACATAAATTATTTAAACGCAAAACGGAGAAAATCACAATTCACGCCTAAGTCTAAGTCGTGAAGAAGTTGTTGATGGAATATTTGACGATGTTTTTGGCTCTCTGCCATTTACGGAGGATGAGGAGAACTGTTGGATCTAAAATATATTAATTTACATTCCGAAGATCAACAAAAGTCTTCGGGGTTCAAAATGACATGAAGAGGAGTAATTAACTTTTAATTAGTAGCAAACTTACCCTTGTAATATTTGACTTTGTGATCTTCAAGTATTTGCACAACTTTTAGACAATCAGATTTTGAAAGTTAGCTTTTTTTGTAGTGTAGATGGTTTCTACAGTCATTGTATCTGATGTGGATGGTGTTACGTTACCCATAGCTACCCATTATCCTTGTTTGGGGGAAAAAACACTGAGGCAATGGTTCCTTCATGACCACTTAAAAGTTGGCACTAGGAAGGGTGAAATGTGAAAATTGTAAAGTTGTCAAACTACATCAAGGCACCATTTTATAATCTTTGACATTTGTTTCTGAGAATTTGGTTGAAATTTTCACTAGAGGGCTAAATGCAACAGTCAAAGTATTATGCTTAGAACACATCACATCTGGTTGGATGGTTACATACAGTTTAGCCACAGAACAGAAGTTCAAATATTTCAACATCCAATAACTGCATTGAAATGAATAAATGCTAGTCCGTTTGCACTGGCTGCCAGTTGCTGCTCGCATCAAATTCAAAGCTCTGATGTTTGCCTACAAAGTGACTTCTGGCCTTGCTCCTTCTTATCTGCTCTCACTTCTGCAGATTTATGTGCCCTCCAGAAACTTGCGTTCTGTGAATGAACGTCGCCTCGTGGTTCCATCCCAAAGAGGGAAGAAATCACTTTCGCAAACTCTCGCATTCAATCTGCCCAGTTGGTGGAATGAACTCCCTAACTGCATCAGAACAGCAGAGTCACTCGCTACTTTCAAGAAACGACTAAAAACTCAACTATTTAGTCTCCACTACACTTCCTAATCTGCAATTGCCTCTCTGAATATCACACTAACTGTACCAAAAAAAAAAAAAAAAACACTAATACTACTAATACTTCCCTTCTTAGACTTTACAGACCTGAAACTTGCCTATAGCACTTATTCATTGTTGCTCTTGGTTGTGTAAATTGCTTCCTTGTCCTCATTTGTAAGTCGCTTTGGATAAAAGCGTCTGCTAAATGACTAAATGTAAATGTAAATGTAAATGCATGTACAGTAATTGAAACTCCACACAGCTTTAATGATACTCTACACAGGAAATAAATGAATTCTGATCACTGGTTTGTTTTTTTGTCAGATGGTTCTTGTTTTGATGCCTGTTCTACATTATGACAAATTGTAATCAGTCAACTGCATCTGTTGCTGTGGCGTGATTTGGCCTCAACCTGATAACAAAGTACAATTTATGGACACTTTATGGTAAATTTGATGGATAATTGTATTTTCCTTTTGTTTGAAGGCAAAGGCGGGCTTCATTCTCAACATCATTGGAATCCTGTGCATCAACCTAGGCATCAACACATGGGGAATGGCAATGTTCAAGCTAGACACCTTTCCCTCGTGGGCCAACAACACACTTGTAAACATCACGGGTACACCATGAACATCTACATCTTGGGTTTTGTGAGAAGACTGAAGGAAAAGAGTGGGGATGGGATGCTTATATATACAAATATATTTATATTTATAAATATTTATACCACCATTAACAGTATGCAGTGTATAACGTCCATTCCATTCATTTCAAGCCCACTGGAGCAAAAGCTCAGCTTTCTTAAATGTATTTACAGTATTTGTCCAAGCACTATGTGAAGTGTCTGTTAAAGACGCATCGATTTCCTTTAGTGTTTGTAATTCTGTACCATTAATGTCTTCTTTACTCAAGTAAGAGTACTTTTGGACATGCGAGTTGGCTTAATGTGGCAATTGCTGAAATCTGAGCCATGTTCAGGTTCATTCAGAGCCTTTTTGACATCCTTTGTGGCTTCTGGTTTCATAAGTTGGTTTTCTGGTCTTCCATTTGTGCTGGTTCACGAAAATTTAATAAATTTATAGGTCTGGAATAGACCTTTTTATATTTTGGATCCCTTTTCGGATCACCCTATTTAATGTATTTTAATACAAAGATTAATCAATTCTATTGGTATTGTTTAGTAACACAATTCAGGTTTTTTAAGTGTTTAATAATTAGCAGAACACACGTAATGTAACATTTTTCATGATGTGCATTAAACTAAATAAAACTAATTTTGTGGAATCTTGTGTGAAAGTTCATTCAGAGCTCTTGCAGAAACAAAATTGTTAATAATTGATATCTGAAATGTTTTTTACATTACGATAAATTGCAACTTGCATGTAAATCTTGTGAAAAAACTTACTTTTTTAATAGTATATGTGCTTATTTGATAACCTTTCTTTGAATTTACACTCAAAAATGAATCATGCTTAGGTTTACATCATTAATGGTTTGTAACCTTTTAAATTTATTTATTTATTTTTTGGGGTTTTTTTTAATCCATGTTTTCAGAATCCTACAAATCAATTTAAATCAGTTACAGTTGAATGCTATACGATTTAATCATTTAAGAAATAACTGTTATTATTACGTATATACTATTGTTTTTTGTTTCATTTGTTTAGGTAACAAATATTAAATCACAAAGTTTATTAGCTCAATTATGTTAAAAGTATGTAATCCAAAAATACAAAAAAATCCAAACAGAAATCTTATTTGTTATATATTTTTGAAATGTACTCGAGTAATTAAAGGTGAGACATCATTTTCTAACTAGATATTAAAGTTTGAGGACAAACTTGAGGACAAAGGCTTGTGAAAGCTTGCCGGATGCAATTTATTTAGTTTGAAAAAGTATCAAGTTGGCTAAAAACAACATAATTAAAAAGCATACTCCATTATATTATAAAGCACACTGTAAATCCTGGTTGCCTTAAATTTTAAGCTGAATCAAATTAAACTTATGAGTCCATTGAACTTATATTATCTTTAACAGACTTAAAAGCTTGGGTCACTTATAAAATTAAGTTAGAACATGATTAACTTGGGCTGCTTTTACACCTGTCAATCAAATCTTTTGTTCCAAAACAGAATAAAATTGTTACAATGTTGCTCTCTTTTTCTTGGTACGTCTGCTTTCCCACACAGAGTTTCTAAATGGACCAAAATAGCTAAAACAAGTCACATACGAGTAAACTCTGCTCACATTGGTCAGAGTTTCAGGGTTTATTTTGAGTCCTGCTCAGCTGTCATGCATCCATATTTCATTATATGACGATGAGCAATAAGACATTAAGCGAAAAGGTGCACTTTAATTTTGAATGATGACACCCACAGACATCACCAGATATAAATTCCGCCTGACATTCCGCCCTACTCATAATTCCCTTTTTATATAGCCGTATAAATGCCCATTACATATCCATAACACACTGTAATATAGCCTGGTTCAGATCATTTTACTTTCTCACAACAATCGATCTGCTCCATAGTTCGTATCAATCGAGCCTAGACCACCACATTTAGGCGATCTCAGACCGATTGTTTTGGCACGAATCAGAGCGCGATTACTGGATTCACATTTGCCAAAAGAACCACGCTAACTGGGGAAACGTGCTTGGTTCTGATATAAAAGTCTAGCTGTTAAGCACCCTTAGTTTAATAAGTTACAATGACCTAAAAACACGTTGTCAGGACTCATGATCATATAGTTGTTATTTTTTTTTACAGGGAATGAATTAGCATGTTGTTAGCAAGATTTTATTATGAATTAACTTGATTCTAGCATGAATTAGCATGTTGTTAGCATGATTCAAGCATGAATCTATTGTTCAGTTGTTTGGGGTCAGATTGTGCTTATTTGATAACTCGTTTATTGATTCTTTGATTGAAAAAACACAATTCAAAAGTATTTTTTTTTTTTTTTGTTAACTTTGTTTTTTTGCAGAATATCATTGTTTTTCAAAAAAGAAATCAACTTTGAACCCAAAACTATGCCAGAAATAAATCAGTTTAATACCCAAGGAAAAACAGCTGGCTGTTGTACTATTATCATTCTAAAAATGAAAGTGAAAGACAGAAAGGTGTTGAAGCCAGTGTCATAATACACTTTGAAAGCAATAATACACAGAAAAATAAATCAAGAACCTGTGAATCAAGAGTCAGGGTAGAGCTGCACAATTAATCGTTAACAGATCGCGATCTCGATTCGACCCCCTTGACGATCTTAATCCAGCATTTCTACGATTCTGCCAATCATATTTTCAAGTTCAGGAGAGAAGAAAAGGCGGCTGCACGAGTCTTTTCATTGTTTCACACATGTTGCTCAGTGACATTGACATCTCCAAATGATGTTGAATGAGTCACATACTGTATTTATAAGGTAAAATACACTAAAAATTGACATTTTTCTCTTTATATAATTATGTTTTCGCGATCGGGAAATCACACGTGACGTGAGCTGCTGACTGCGAGCGCGCGCTCTACTATTAATGATAGACCTGCGCGCGTCTACTTTAGTGAACAGAACCTGCGTATGTTGCGAGTAACAGGTAATACAGTTGTAAATAATATTCAGTTTGTGGCACAGAGTGATCGTTTGGGAGCCGCGCGCGAAGTATGAACAAGCACTTAGCAGTCAGAATGAAACCGAAAGTGTGCACTTCATTTAAATGATCGTATCGCATTTTAGAGTTGATGATTACGACAAGCATTTGATATGTTTTTTCTTTCATAGCGAACACACAGTTGTGCATATAAATAAATGTTTACAGTGTCAGTATAACTACTCTAGCCTATATATTGTTGAATATAATCTGATAATGGCAAATGTCTGATTTTACTAGTGAATAAAATTGTCTAATATGACAGATTGCAAGCATATATCTCAAACATAATAATTCAACATTAAAATTATTATAAGTAGAATCGAATTATTTATAGACACCAGTAGACCTACACATAATATTAATATCGATGTTGTGCCATATGTTTGTTTTTACCATACCTTTATTGTACATCCACAGAATCGTGAGAAAATCGTGATCTTTATTTTAAGCAAAAAAAATCGTGATTCTCATTTTAGCCAGAATCGTGCAGCTCTAAGTCAAGGACATGTTTACAGTGTGAAAGGCAGCGTATAAAAATAAATGGCTATAGGAAATAAATAGACGATTTCAATCATTTCCAAAAATTCAACATATACATTTATTTCTCTTCATTCCAGACTGGTGTTTGAACTATCCGAAACATAGGTTTCGTTTTCACACCCTCGAAATCATTTACAGTAAATCACAATCATAAATAAAGCTGTTACATATCTGACTAGAAACATTTGTCCATGATTTTTTCCCCATCCACTTTACACCCCCTTTTCCATGTCCACAATTTAAGAACAAGGGTTTATTGAAATCATCCTCCTACAGTAAATGCACGTTTTGCACTATGAAAACAAGGATCATAGATACAACACATCCTGAATCTAACCTCAGCTATGTGCACTAAACAGGCGTGATAGAGGCCTGGATCACTGGAATGTGTGAGAAAGGGAACGATAGATGGAGAGGTGAAGAGAAACGCCATCTCTGAACTACTGAAAACTGATATTCCTTTCCTTTTTGTTTTGTTTTTTCAGAGAAACCACAGGAGCCAGTCGTTTGAAATGTCAAGGCTTGTAATGTGTGCCGTGTTCCCTTTTCAGTAGACGTTTTTTATCTACTCAACCTCTGGTTCGCAGCATGAATTGTGTATAATAATCGGGAACTTCACGCAAACCTTTTGAATGCAAAAATATCCGTAGATCCCTGACAGATGTGCACCACGAATGCCACTTGATTCGTTTTTTTTTGCTTCTTTTTTTAGTTTTGTTTTATTCCACACAAATAATCGACATCTCAGAAGTAAGTGAGTTTGTTCACGTATCAAAATATATCTAATGAACACAAATCTATCAATTAAGTCAAGGTCTCACCATAAAATCAGCTTCTATTTAGGATGAAAAGTTCACAAGTATGAAATTTGATGTAGCTTATTCTGACAGGGAAAGAAATACTCAACATCAACAATATATAACGGTCATATCTGCGTCATCTCACACACACACACTTGCAATCATTGAATCAAATCTCACACACACCGCACTCACTCAATGAATAGTAAAACCTAAGTACCATTCACATTACAGTGCTTTGCCCATACAAACTATGGGACGTGTTAGCTCATAATTGGGGTACGCTTCAAAATAAATGCTTGAGTTTGTGTTTTTGCTGACGTGAATGGCAGTGTGTGAAATCAGGATAGGATATGTGTGCGTGTCGGACAAGACCTTATGGTGTGACTCTCTAGATCTCCAAAACAGGAATGACGCACTGCAGCCGCTCGCCTGTGACACTGATTGAAGAGGGCGTGGCTGCTGGACGTAGATATTGTGATTGGTTCTTAGGTCTGTCAGTCAAACTCTGCCTTAGTCCCGCCCACTGCTGTCCTAAGGGCCTCCGCTGTACGAATAATCAGCTTTGTTGTGCATGACCAGCTTGTTGTCCACAAAGTAGAAGCTGTCGGACTGCGTCTCGTAAGGATGGAGGATCATCTCACGAACTGAAACACAGAGAAAAAACCATTGGAGAGCTGCCAGATGCACTTATGCAATGAAACAACACAGTTGAAGTCAGAATTATTAGCTTTTTTAATAATTATTTTTATTATTTTACATTTTTTCCCCATTTCTGTCACATAATAGACTTAACAACTGATTTCTATTACCTGATTTCATGATAACAGTACATAATATATTACTAGATATTGTTCAAGACACTAGTATTCAGCTTAAAGTGTAATTTAAAGACTTAACCAGTTAAACTCTGTGGACCCGGTGACATTATCGAATTACGCTTTAAGATTTAAAGGGCTAGCATTGCACCAGACCCCTTTAAGTGGTTTAATTTGAAAGCGTAGAATCTATGTTTTATGCACACATGCATCACTTTGGTTTTTATTCTACTGTACAAAAATTATTTACTCCTAAATACACAGTATTTTGGATACCCAAGCTGGGTATTTTACATTGGTTCATTTTCATATTTTTCATATGACACATGTACAAGTTATAGCTCAAATGAAAGCTCTTGCCGGTGCTCATACAGTTCTAGCATTCTTTTTACTGAATTATATTCACATATCAAACAGTTTCCAAATGAATCACAGTGTTTCCATTGGCGCAGAAGTGAAAAAAATA